ACAGAAAGGTCAACAACCAAAGATCCCTAGAGCATAGTAGTACTGAGGCTAGCCATGCTTCGAACATGCATGTTACGCCAAGGTGAAAGCGAAGAGAGAGTCTTACATTATAGCTATGTTAGTTCTATACTATCTAGGGATTTCCTTCCCATTCTAAGGGAATCCCTGTCTGGCTGGATGTGATGACTTAAAATACTTTACTTTACTGCTGAAGTGATGCACAAAGGTCCTTCTCTTATGAGAGAATCTGAATCTAAAATATCACTTCTACTTCTCACTATAATAAATTAAGATTAATGATATGAATTCGTTAGGAGTGTAGAATGTATGTGTATACAAAAGCATCCATTCCCTAGGATCTCAGTTCTAACCTTATCAGGTTATCCGTTTTTAACTCCAATCTTTTCTTTGATATATAGAAAGGAAGCAATATCCTAGGATAGTAGAAGAAAAGACACAAATGTTTTATTTATAGAGATTTCTTGGGCCTTGATTAACACAGCTTTTTCTGTACCCAGGCCCGTTGGTACAATCTGTAATGTCTTTCATATTTTGTTGCTGTTTTCTTGTATTAAACATGTCAACATTTTACATCTGAGCAATAAAAGAGAGAGAGATAGGTCTGTTGAATAGCAATGCAAGCAGAATAACAGTGCATAATGCTAATACCTTGGAAAATTAATTAATATTTTATGAGTAATAAAAAAGTGGGAAGGATTAGCCAAGACTGAAGGTCAGCCAGTGGCACCACTACATTTCTCATTGTTCGTAACTGAGAAAAAGATTTCTCCATAACATTTCTTCAGTTAAAAATAAACATCTTCAGATTCACATTTGGTTTAAAAAGATCATAGTCTAATTGCAACGGATACTGAACAGAAGCATATAAAAAGACAGTTAATGCCTTGTCTTATGATGCTTTTTGGAATTTGGAAATTGTATATATGGCATACTACTACATGCAAAAGAGACTTGTGCCAATTTTTTCTCCTTTTCTTCGACTGTGGTAAAGAAAACTTATCTGTGACCCTGACTCTGAAATCATGTAGCTTACATACACGTAGACTACACTTTCTGTTTCAGAAGGTTGAAAAAGCTACCAGAGGAGAAGCTGTTCTGGATTTGGTTTTAACAAATAGGGAGGAACTAGTTGAGAACTTGAAAGTGGAAGACAGTATAGGGGACAGTGATCACGAAATAATAGAGTTCATGATCTTAAGGAAAGGTAGAAGGGAGACCAGCACAATTGAGGTAATGGATTTCAGGAAGGCAGATTTTGATAAGCTCAGAGAACTTGTAGGTAAAGTCCCATGGGAAGCAAGACTGAAGGGAAAAACAACTGAGGAGAGTTGGAAGTATTTCAAAGGGACGTTGTTAAGGGCCCAAAAGCAAACAATTCCGCTGTGTAGGAAAGATAGAAAATATGGCAAAAGACCAGCTTGGCTTAACAAGGAGATCTTGCACGATCTCAAAATAAAAAAGGAGTCATATAAAAAATGGAAACTAGGACAACTAACAAAGGATGAATATAGGCAAGCAACACGGGAATGCAGGGGCAAGATTAGAAAGGCAAAGGCACAAAATGAGATCAAACTAGCTACAGGCATAAAGGGAAACAAGAAGACCTTTTATAAATACATTAAAAGCAAGAGGAAGACCAAGGACAGGGTAGGCCCACTGCTTAGCGAGGAGGGAGAAGCAGTAACAGGAAACTTGGAAATGGCGGAGATGCTCAATGACTTCTTTGTTTCGGTCTTCACCGAGAAGTCTGGAGGTGTACCTAACGTAGTGAATACAAGCAGCGAGAGGGTAGGTTTAGAAGATAGGATACACAAAGAACAAGTTAAAAATCACTTAGGAAAGTTAGATGTCAGCAAGTCACCAGGTCCTGATGAAATGCATCCCAGGATACTCAAGGAGCTGATAGAGGAGGTATCTTTGAAAAATCATGGCAGACAGGGGAGATTCCAGAAGACTGGAAAAGGACAAATATTGTGCCCATCTATAAAAAGGGGAATAAGAACAACCCAGGAAACTATAGACCGGTCAGTTTAACGTCTGTCCCAGGGCAGATAATGGAGCAGGTAATTAAGGAAATCATATGCAAACACTTGGAAGGTAATAAAGTGATAGGGAATAGCCAGCATAGGTTTGTGAAGAACAAGTCATACCAACCTAAGCTGATAGCTTTCTTTGATAAGATAACGAGCCTTGTGGATAAGGGAAAAGCGGTGGATGTCATATATCTAGACTTTAGTACGGCATTTGATACGGTCTCGCATGATATTCTTATTGATAAACTAGGCAAATATAACTTAGATAGGACCACGATAAGGTGGGTGCATAATTGGCTGGATAACCGTAGTCAGAGAGTTGTTGTTAACGGTTCTAAATCCTGCTGGAAAGGGATAACAAGTGGAGTTCCTCAAGGGTCTGTTTTGGGACCCGTACTGTTCAGTATCTTCATCAATGATGTAGATATTGGGATAGAGAGTACGCTTATTAAGTTTGCAGATGATACCAAACTGGGTGGGGTTGCAACTTCTTTGGAGGATAGGGACATAATTCAAAATGACCTTAGCAAGTTAGAGAAATGGTCAGAGGTAAACAGGATGAGGTTTAATAAAGAGAAATGCAAAGTGCTCCACTTAGGAAGGAACAATCAGTTCCATACATACAAGATGGGAAGCGACTGTCTAGGAAGGAGCATGGCGGAAAGCGATCTAGGGGGCATAGTGGACCACAAGTTGAATATGAGTCAACAGTGTGATGCTGTTGCAAAAAAAGCAAATATGATTCTAGGTTGTATCAACAGGTGTGTTGTAAGCAAAACTCGTGAAGTCATTCTGCCGCTCTACTCTGCACTAGTTAGGCCTCAGCTGGAGGACTGTGTCCAGTTCTGGGCGCCACATTTCAAGAAAGATGTGGAGAAATTGGAAAGGGTACAGAGAAGAGCGACAAGAATGATTAAAGGTTTAGAGAACATGACCTATGAAGCCAGGCTTCATGAACTGGGCTTGTTTAGTTTGGAAAAAAGAAGATTAAGGGGGGACACGATAGCGGTTTTCAAATATCTAAAAGGGTGTCACAAGGAGGAAGGAGAAAATTTGTTCCTCTTGGTTTCTGAGGACAGGACAAGGAGTAATGGGCTTAAAGTGCAGCAGGGGAGGTTTAGATTGGACATTAGGAAAAAATTCCTAACTGTCAGGGTGGTCAAATATTGGAATAAATTGCCAAGGGAGGTGGTGGAATCTCCCTCTCTGGAGATATTTAAGAACAGGTTAGATAGACATCTGTCAGGGATGGTGTAGACGGAGCTTGGTCCTGCCTTGAGGGCGGGGGGCTGGACTCGATGACCTCTTGAGGTCCCTTCCAGTCCTATTATTCTATTATTCTATGATACACACTAAGATCCCTAGGTCATGGCACAGACTGCATCGCATGACTCTTGCCATGTGAGTTTGCAGAAAACATAATCTTCTCTAAGGATTTTGTTTCCTGAATGGTGATTGAGAGAAAATATCAGAGCCCTGATTTTTGCCCTTGTCTGTCACATGTTGGTGTAGATTTTTGGGGAGTGCTGAGAATGTGGCTCATAGACTGGGTTAACATTTCCAGTCTTTGCCTTGGTGAAGTGTGTCCCTTCACAATATCAAGTCACATAATCTGGTCAGTAGCTACTAAAGCAGAGAATCCTTAAAAGAAATCATAACAGCTTTCTGAACTGGTTGTTATACTAAGCCTTTAAATTAGGTACATTTTATTTACAGAGCAACTGCAGATTCAAAATAATGAAGAATGAAGCTACAGCCTGCAGCTTGATTTTTATCACTTTACGATAGAGAGTAGAACAAAAATTATTTGTGATTTAATCTTCTTAACCAATCCCAAAATTTAATTTGAGGCATTACTTTTCATTTAGTCATTCTTGTTTCACATCACTTTTCCAACTCCACCCTTTATTTTGTAGTTTCGTTCAGAGAATCTGGGGAACTCAGTGTTTTACATGCACCACTGCACGGATGGATAGGAAGCTGTACCAAGGTCGACAGATGCTAACCTACTCACAGAAGACAAGTTACTGTAACTTCCTAGTTCAGCAAACAATTATTCTTCTATGCTATCAATTTGTGCAACATCAAAACCGCAGTAAAAAGTACATTTTCTACTACAACAAGGTAACAGCATGTTACAGTTTTATAAATATATATATTTTCCCTCCATCCAGCACCTGCATGGATTTAGTAATAATACCAGGCACAGGTGGATTCCCTTGGTACCTACGTCAGTTAGTCACTTCAAGCTATCATTTAGTAGGGCCTTTTGTGTATAGAACTTTTTCCCCTCAGCCCTTTTTTTTTATACAGTGATCATTTTATTTTAAAAAATGACTGATACAGCTAGTTCAACCTCTTAGCACAACATATTTTCCAATGCTGCTTATTTTATTTTCATAAAAGTACCATTCATTCTGCACATCCCTAGTTAAAAACAGTTTTTATGAAACAATAAAGCACTAAGGTTTCTGCATTAATCTTCATTATGTTTCTTAAAATACTCACAGAAACAGTGTCACTGAGGTATCATTGACTGGCCACTCTTTCTCTCCCCCTGTCTAATTAAGAAGGGTGGTATTCATACAATAATAAATAGTTTGTGCTAGATCTTATTCATATTTGCTGAGTGCTGGGAGAAAAAAAGTCAAAGCTCTTGGCATGTCATTTGCACAGTTCAACTGCTCACTGTAACTACTTAAATCAGCAACTTCTCAAACCAATTAAGGCAAAGGATTCTGGGACGGACATACTCTACATGACAAAGTAGTGATTTCTAGGCTCTGGCACTGTATTAAAATTGTTTATTGAAAGCTGCTGAATCTCACAGTGGTATGAAGGGCAACTCAGAGTCATCAATGTGAAAGGAAAAAAAATTAGTTTCTTTTTCAATCCTTCAATCTCAACTGATTCCCGATGAGTTATAGCAAAAGTGTGCAGTCTTACCCCACAGCCCAGTCCATTGCTTGGCTCACATACTATTTTCCTCATTTCTGGTTCAGGAAGAAGGCCAGCTCCACAACCTGGAGCTGAACACAGCACTCCACCCATCTGCAGCACACATTCTTCTGCACCATAGCGCTGGTAGCGGTTGTACTGCAAGGCAAAACACATGTATGGCTGTTCAGAGAGACTGGGCCCTGGGGGAAATATCCCCAACTTTTCTGCTCCAGTTTATCTTGCTAAATGAGTCTAGCACTTCCAAAATTTTACCCAGTAACTTCAGGTTATTTGTCAGATGTTTGGAACATAAGAGTACTGCACATTGATTCAATAAAGTAAATGCCACAATGTTTCATTCTACATTAAATACAAATTGGGAGAGGAAATCCAAGAGCTGTAGCCAGAAATTAACAGCATAATGTGTCAGAGCCACACTGTCCCACAATTACACAACATTCTTGTGAAAAGCATACTCCAGGTAGATAAACTGAGCCAAAAAAATCTTTCTCTGGGTAGCAATTTATTTTAATATCATGAGCAGGTATTTCTGTGGCTCTTATGGAGTGTCAGTGTTTCACAGACACTCTTTTAGTAGCCTCACAACACCCTGGAGGAAACATCTTCATTTTTCAGATGGGGATATCAGAAAGTTAAGTGACCTCTCCAAGTTTGCACAGGAAGTCCATGCCAGGGTCAGAAATAATACTCGAATACTTCAAATCCTAGCCAAATTTTAAACTTTGGAAAATGTTGATAATTATTATTAGCTTCAACATGTTTTAAACAGTGCATGCCAATTAACACATTTTTAAACCGCTGTTTATTTCAAAGTGTAAACAGACCTTAAGACAGTTCAGTGGAATGACGGTATTAAAATACAGCCAACAGATCAGCCTACCCTAATATTCGCTTGTGTCCATTAGCCATTCTGACACATTCAGATTTCATAAAAGTTTAGCTTTAGTTTTTTAACAATAAGATTCTAGCGCTTATGGCTGTGAAGAAAAGCTTAAAAAGTTACATGAGGGTAAACCAATGCTGAGTTTTCTTCTCAAGTCTGCAGAGAGTCTGAAACAATAAAAGACACTTTAATGTCCTCATTATTGCACTGTCAATCACTGCAAAGGGTGATATGGTTTTCAAAGAAAAGTCCAGAGAGAGGTGAGAATTGGGAATTTGCAACTGTGGAGAAGGAAGTGCAAAGTGAAGAACAGAGAGGAAAGACAGGGAAGAAGGACAGAAACAGACAAAGGAAGGTGGGGAAAAGGAAAAGAAACAAAGGGTAGAAATAACAGTGGTCCAAATGGTGGGTATATTTTTCCACTGAGTGGCAGTTGATTAAGTATGTAACAAATAATAGTAACTAGAAGTTTCATTATTATGTAAAGGCCAATTTCTATCCTTGAACTATGTATGGCATACTTTTCCGTGTTGCCAACAGGCCTTCTGCTCAGGATGGAGTGTACACAGTGCAAAATTAATGCCTCGACCCATAGACCACAAGCAAAACTGGAATTTGGCTCTCTCCCCAGTATGAGTTTGCCATGGTCTGGTCTCGATGCAATCTACACTGGTATAACATGCACACTGCAGGCACAGGAAGAAGTATAAGTTACATCAACTCAAACTTCCTGGTCCACATACCGGACTTTTAGTCTCTGGTGTAGCTGCAAAAATATAAACCACTAAAGTAGTCATGATTTATGCCACTGCCATAACTAGTTTACCCTGGTTTTAAATTTGGATAAGCTAAATGGATACAAATCAGGTTGCACCAGTTTAACTCATGTCTATGCTAGGGTTTTGTATTGATGCAGCTCTACCAATGGTAAGTAAAAGTAGAGAGTAAAGCACGTCTCAGTGAATGTGGCCATTGTACAGTGAATACATAAAAGGAAAAAAAATAAAAGACAAGAGAGAAATGAGTTGGGTGACTTTTCTCAGAAGATGGGGAAATGAGTTGAGTGTATGCAAATAACACAGAATTTAGTGTTAAATCACAGCTTGAATAAAAACATTCAGTGCTTCTTAAAATTTTACCTAATTATAACTCATGAAAATGTTGTATTACCAAAACCACAACCACAACTATTGAAAAATGAAGCAATCCGTCCAAATCCCTACGCAAGGAGGATGCAAATAACCACTTCAATATAAACACAGAGGCTCCCATGCACATTTTGCAGATACAGTTAAGGAGGCCTTTCATCATTTTGTAGAAGTTACATGCTGCAGTAATACATTCTTTTTCACGGTATTTTAAAAACAAGTATGAGAGTTTTGAAAGCCACAGCCAAGTGACATAGTATCCATGTTCAAATAATAATCCTGTTTATTAAATCTTTTCCAAACAGTTTGGAAAATCTATAAAAATACACCACTCTATATTAAACAAAACAAAGTAGAAAACCTAAAGGGAGAAATGCCCTTTTATAGAAGAATCACTCAGTGTATGAGAGGCATGGGGATTAACATCTTACATGCTTTATAGCCTTTTTGTTAGAAAGGAATTTGAAGACATCAGCAATTAGAGGGTTCCTTTGAATGTGGGGACTCACTGAGTCAAATAATATTTAACATTATTATGCATGAACCCATTTATCCCAGCATTATGGGATAAATATTTAATGTTGGAATCTATCAGTTTTCAACCGAGTGTGCAGTAAATATGTTGAATGCTCGGAGTCATTCTGCTGGCCTTGAACGGAAGTGCTGGTAATCGCAGCTGCAAAGCTCTCCGAGGACCTCATTTTAGTTCAGAGCACAGAATGGACCTGAAGGTGAAGACGGATATTGTCTTACCCTATCTTAAAAGGTAACATTCAAATGTGCTGAATGTTGGATTGTTAATAGCTTCCTATTATAGACACAAACACCAGCAGCAATACTAAATTTGAGGGTCTGTCACCATTTCCATTAGAAATCCTGAGCTGAAAAGAGAAAATGATTTCCAATCTCAAACTGGGCATAAAGAAGTCAGCAAGATTCCCCCTTTAATAAAGGAATTTTCATGACAAAAACCAATGTTGTCCCTATAAGATATAGGCAAGAAAATTAATTTACAGGGTTCATGGGGAGAAAGAGTCAAATTTCATCCAGAAAATTTGACATTTTATACTGGTTCAGCACAGAAATTGTGTCAAATCATTATACAATTATAGCACTTGCAAGTGTGATTTTCGTATCATAAAAACCAAACACACGGATCAACTGGAAAACAGAGAAAAACCTACTAAATGCTTTGTACGTTCTGTTATCTAGTTATAAACCTGTCTCCTACTTCTAATGCTCATTAAATTTACAAAGGTGTTATTTTCCAATATTTTTCTTTTCTGTCTTTACTGTAAATCAATTAAAATGAAGAAGCAGAATCTGTATAAGTTCATTGTCTTTACAAAAATCAGTTATATTCTAATACATATTATGTTATGGTTAAAGAACAAAATACCTTTCTTTATATTAAGGGTTCATTTATAAATAGCTTACAAAGGGTTAATATACAACACATAATTTTTTGAATAATTGTCAGTAAAATCCAAGAGGGGAACAGACTGCTATCAGAGGGCAGCCTCAACTGCAATCCCCTCTTGCAATATGCCATGGCATGATTAGTACAGTGATTACTCCACTGAGGTAACCCAAAGACTCTACTTTGGGCTGTCTTGCTTCACATTAGAACCTCTCCATGGGGCTGGGTATATTACAAGAACACTGTGCAAACAATCCAAAATTTCAAGTCCCAAAACAATACTTTGCACAAATAACCTTTAAAATCACATACCCTCAGGGCCACTAATATAACACAGACCACATTCTAGTGTCTTCCATCACACATGGGTTCTTTATTAGTCCTCTTCTGTCCCTTTTTCAGGACAGCCCCTGCAGCCCTTCCAGCTAGAGTGCAACCTACTCTTTCTAGCAGGAACCTCTACAGCACCTCTGATGGGTGATCATCCTCCCAAAATGAGTAATCCTCACTCTTCCTCACCCTCTCTTTTTGTTCTTCTGGGTCCAGCTCTTCAGTACAAAGATGTTAGTTTATAAACCTCACCAATGCTCCCCCTTCCTTCACTCCTTTCCAGCCCTTCACTCCTTTTGCTGGTATTCCAGCCTTCAGTCCTTTCCAGCACTCTGTCTTGGGGAAACCAGCCAGCAGACCCTTCCTGCTGCTCTCCTTTCCTTCAGCCTTCTCCCAAGAAACACATTCTGTATCGGGCAGCTCTCATTTGTCTCTTTTCCTAACTCACACTCAGGCAGCTCTGGTTCACTGGGTCTCAAACTTCTAAGGTGTTGCCCTACCTCCTAATTGACCTAATGGAAGCACCTGTTCTAGCAAAGGAAAACTAGATCCACTTCCCATTCTGGAACCAGCCACTCTGACACAATTGCATACAACCATGGGTTATAACTCTCTAATCTTCTATTTAGCATAATGTGTATCTCATAGAACTCCTGTCTATGACATGTTTATAACAGGTGACATTTTCATAAGCACCCAAGTGACTTAGGAGCTTAACTCATTTTTAGAAACGATGGGCAAAATTCACTTTTGAAATAGGCCTTCGATTCCTAAATCACATAGGCACCTTTCAAAAATATTAACCATCTATTTATCATTTATTGGCACCTTATTAAGGATACATCCATAAATGATATCAAGTGGTACTGAACAAACTATATAAGTATATTCCATCTTTTCAGATAAACTTCTGAATGATCCAACTAATGGGGCACTGGACTAGACAGCTACTCAAGAGATTTTGGTTCAATTTTTGAGTCAGCCACACAGTTTGTGGGTAGCTTTAGGTACAACACTTGGATCTACTCTGTAACTCCTTTTCCCATCTGCAAAATGGGGGGTGATACTTCCCTACATCATAGGGACGTTGCAAGGATAAAAATCCATTAATAGATGAGAGATCATCCGGTCCTAGGGTTATAAGGGCCATATAAACCAAAAGAAATTAAAGTTTCTCCAAACAACCATTTAATCATGACAGCAGGCATGAAAGGAATTAAGCACAACTCTTCTACTATCATTAGAAACTAGCTTTAATAGTAATCTGATATGAGTTTGTGAGGCATTTGGAAACTGCTGTGATGAAGAAATAACTATAAGTAAAAAACTGAAGATTGGTGATTTTCAAACATGC